GAAATTTGTGGACAAGGAAAGTTGTCGACACGCGATCCACATCACAGTCCGTAATTTTGCTCGGATTGTTCTCCGACTGCAACGGAGCAGGGTTGGCGTAGTGGTGAGAGCGCTCGCCTTCCACCAATGTGTCCCGGGTTCGATTCCCGGACCCGGCGTCATAAGTGGATTGAGTTTGTTGGTTCTCTACTCTGCTCCGAGAGGTTTTTCTCCGGGTACTCCAGTTTTCCCCTCTCCTCAAAAACCATCATCATTTGAATTCATTTAATTTAGAGTTTATTTAGATTTACACACGACCCCACAAGCTGTTCAGCTTTAAACATTATCGTGTCTAAATAAAGGTATTATTATTATTATTAGCAAATGTACCATTTTTTTTTACCCGGCGTTAGGGAAACCCAAATTAATTTCTTAATGTGTCTCTCTGACACAGTTTTTATTTTACAACCCAAGGGTTGCATATCTATCGAGCTATGTGATGATACTCTTTATGACAGTTGAAAAACTCATAATTTCTCGTTTTAGGTTCGAATGGAAGGAGTATCAGTGCTTGGGGAAGACGTTATTGTCAAAGACGAATTATATATCAATGGAGGGCGAATTCTACCCCATAAATCCATCTCAGATTCCTCGCCAGAACCGCAAATCATTATGTAAATAGGAAATCAGCAGCGATGAAAAATTTCTTAACACTATATATGTTGGTAAAGGGGTTTTTAAAAATGAGTTTGTTCCAGGCGTGTTGTTTGTAAAACGGAGCGAAATTGTATACAGCGCGACCACTCACGCCACACGCGGATAATAAAACCACTCACTTAATAGAATAGATATCGAGTTGTGTCGCCAATCAGATTGCAGAATGCTTAACATAGAGTTAATATATGTATTTATTACATCTCTGCAAACTGTCTTCCATAACTTTTTACGTTAAGATAGAACTGACTTACTAAAGTGATGGTTGTCATGGTTGTCAGTGATTTATCAAAATCTCCTGTTCCTCCTTTTGTTTCATCGATAAAGCCAATGATATTGAACCTTTAAAATATTCGAAAGCTGAACACAGTTAGTTTTACTTTACATTTGTAAACAGTCGGACAAAATGTCCAACCAGCAATCCTAGGAATTGTCGGACAAATCGGTTATTTGACGGAACATTTTCTATGGACTGGTTGTTGTTTTGAGCCACGTAACATCCATATATCAAAACCAAAAACTTGCTTTATTCACAATACTTTTTTTTACACACCACCAGCGTTCTTTCTACAGATTTCACATTTCATTGCTGTTCGAGAGCCGCCTCGGTAGCGATATCCTCCAGTTCGTTTACGATGTGCTTGCAAAAGAAGCATTCCTTGTTGTTCATAAGATGGCGAGAAATACACGCCCTGCAAACAAAAAGTAGATTTTGTTTTCATAGAAATAAATTCATAAGCCTAGGGGCTTTTTTTTTTTTTAACATAAAATGTCTGTCTTTCCACGTGATACCCACCTGCACGACACGTGCAGACACGGGATAAACCTGACCGAGACTCTGACCGCACAGCAGATGGGACATAAGTCGTCAACATCTATGGATTCCTGAAGAGGGAATAAACTGTGTTACGATGCTTAGTTTTACTGCAAATGTGGTTTATATTTACAAACTGTGAGCTTGCAAATATTCACCTACACACTCTAATGGTCTGACTAAACGGGCAACATGTTAAGATAGGAGGCATTATTTTCCAATTTTAACAGAAATGTTACGGCTGTCTTGGCCACCATTTCAATTTTGTACCACAAGAAGTGATAAAACTAGGAATAGTTCAATTGTTAAACCGGAATCTACGGAAAGGGAAGGGTGTTTTGCCTGTGGGGCTAACTACCTTATTAGGTAATGTAGAGAAGCGCTCACTCTGATCCGTCGAAGATGATGTCATATAATGTATACTTGAGTGATACATTTACTTCAAAATGGCAAAGGAGCGAATTTTTTGGATTGAAATAGTAAATAAATAAAAATTTAAACAAGAATTAAATGTTTTGATGAAGAGTGAAAAAGAAAATACAATTGAACGACCATTATCCCCAGGCTCAGCGAAACTCTTGGAACTGAATAATCGATGATTGCACAATACTCACGTCGCCACTAGGCGCGTTGTTGCTCGAAAGTCTCTGGCATTGCAGATCTTTGATTGTTATGATTTCACGAGAAGCCTAGATTACCTGTGTTTGGAGCCCATACTCTGTGGTCTGGCTCTCCAGATGTGATACCAGATCATCGACCCGTTGGACCTCCTCGGGTGTAACATCTTTGTTTATCACTACACACACAAACACACAAAAAATAGAGATGCGAGTTTTTAAGTAAATGGATGGCTCATGATTCCAATAAATTTCCAACCTGCCCTCATATTACAGAGTTTAATTTACACAGGATTATATCGGTCTGCGCTTCAGATGACGAATCCGACTGCGATTCCGACATTACTGAAATCTATCTGGCTTCGAACCCCCTATATATACACAGCGATTCTCAAATGTTTCCATTCCAGCACCTATCGTTTAACATTGTTTTAAGTTAAAACAAATAGTAATGAAAGATAAATATTCCTGGCAGCATTACGTGTTCTGAAGGAGAATTTTGGTTTTTTGGCTTCAACAGCGACTGTCTTGCCACCAACTAAAAAGCACACAGTGTCCAGATTGTAACCAGGTTCTGCCAAAAGGGAGGACGTCGCTCTCTCTTTGCTGAAAAATGACGAGAAAAAAATCAGTTTAAACATTAAAAAAAAAAAAAAGAACAAGCCAACAAACGATGAAATTGACTCAGTATCGTTGAACTTATTGCAATGATTTCCTTGACATGAAGTCTTAAGGAGTGCCGTGATTCCCCCCGCACGGAATGATGGTCCATCGAAGAGTAACCTACCCGACCCCCGAAATTTTTTCAGGTCTCTCTGGCAATACGTTGGTACCCGTATGTAACCTTGAATGGAAGAAGTGCTGTGAGGGTGACGTGCTTAGAATTAAGACTCAGTAAATGAACCCCGGCTCTCATCACACTTGACGGCTGATCTCCAGTCTTCCTCAGAGGCAAAATTAATCCCAAACAAAAGCAGTAAAAAATCCAAACAAACAAATAAATGTGAACATAGCCAGAAACAAAGGCTAAATGCAAGCAGTAGCAACGGGAACAGATCTAAAGCATTAAATTTGGAGAATCAGACGTTTGACGCTATGATTCTTTGTCAAAACTATACACACCTTTCAACTGTGCCATTCAACAACAGCGTTAGTAAGATTCCTGTCACGGCACCGAGAATGGGGAACCGGTCAACCGTTTCTAGTCCTAGAGAAATGAAACCGTTTCAGGAATGAATGAATAAATGAACTGAACAAATTAGCCCTTCGACCCTTCAGTACTAGTCACTGAGAAAATCAAAAATTGTAACTTCAATTCAAAACGGAAAAGGCTCATAACGTTACCAGGTAAATGTAGTCTTGTCACATTCTCAAACAGGTTTGAACTGGCCGTTACTCGATTCAGAACTTGAGTCAGCAGCTTGAAAAAAGGGAGCAAACAATTTTAATAGAAATCTCAACGAAATTGAGGGAAAAAGAATGAAAAGTAGTGAAAGGGCTCTTAAAAAGAACACGCCCAAATTAGGGGGTCGATATTTTGCCGTCTGTTTATGGATACCTTTTACTAACGAGGTCGATGTTCGTTCAGTATCATATGGGCTGATTATCTTTTAGAATGTTGCATAAATTGGTTGAAAGCAATCGAGGAACTTGAAAGAAACGTAGATGGCCCCAAGAATAGTTCGTATGGGCTAAAAAAAAAAATAAACAAGAACGAGTACGAGTAATGAATTTTAGTTATGGGGGAGGCTTTGATTTTCTATAGAAGAGACTGCAGCAGGTTAAATCCCACAAGGTCAATTATGTTTATGGTGTTTTGAGCCTGTGATACCTGAAAAAGCCGAGCAATGTAAAGTTCAGCGGACTGCCGTTTCCAGTCTGTAAAGATTTCCGGAGCAACTGTTGCGACCATCTCCAGCACCTACAGAAAGAAATCCCTGCGTCTTCACTTACGAATACAGTAAATAATTACTTGAATACCGAGGTTTTTTTGTAGTAAGAAGCTCAGAAGTTAATTTCATTTTCGTTCTTTAAGAGGTTGAGAAAAAGACCCTGGAATATGTAAGAAAGCGCAGGTGTACGGGGTTGTCCAACTTACCCGCATTAACCCGACAGTCAAATCAAAACAGACCGCACAAGTTCGCAGTTGTCGTGAATCCAACACGGTCTCCATTTGATGAGTCGCTTGTTGAATCTGATAAATCAAGAAAGGAGAGTATTTGACCAAGTTGTACAGAAAAAAAGTTCTGAGAAGTGCCTCGTGTCGCGCAGTTCATTGTATGGTTCACACCGGCGGAATTTGGCGACTGGGGAATAGTTGAAATTCCGCGTGGGATACTAAAACAGTTTAGGTTAAAAAGAAAAAAGCCATCACAGGATCACCAGCTAAGGCTCGAGCCCCTATCTCTCAATGCGGTGTCCTGTGCAGCCTCAATGTGAAGTATTTACTGAGGAATAACTCAATTTGTTGGCCTACCTCCTGAAGCATTCCGATAAACTCTGAAAATGACCAGTTAAGCTGGTTTAACAAGCCGTTCAGAAATTCGCTTGCCAGCTGATTGTCTTTGACGCAAAGTTGACCAAACAACTGCTGGCATTTCTTCGAAGGATAAGGAGCTGACATCAGATTGAAAATAACGAGTCAAATATGTTAGAAATCATTCAAAATCCTAGAGATTAGGCACTCATTTGAAGATTAACTAGGCAATATTGTTGTGGGACCAAAATCCCAACTCTCTTAAAATATTGAACGTGGCTCGTTGGTTCTCCATGGAAACACTTAAAAAGTACACCAGGTACATCTAAAATTTAATGGAGACCTCATGCAAGCCGTGGCGTGGCGACGTGATGATACAAAAAATGAATGAACGGAAAAAGTAACTCTGCACGTGCGTTGTAAAACTTTGTAGCAACCCTATCCAAAACGTCGACGTATTATAACCATGAACAAAAACCGCGCTGACGAATCATACACGTTTTTACAAGTGCTCAAATTTTATGCTGAAGTTGAGGTCTAGCACCGTAAGAGACGGTAAATATATGCAGCCATTTGCGAAATTATATTTTTAATCGATGTCTAAAAGCAATCACGACGGCAAAAATATCCCTATCATTCTTAGCAGACCAGATATCTCGAGTCTGAAAATATACTGAGGCGGATTGCACTTCGTATTAGGCCCAGTCTCCTCGCTTAATTGTCTCTTGACACTTGGCCTTCTAAGCTACCTACAGATCAATGTTAGCATCTGCGCACCTGCGGACCTCCCCCTCCTCCCTCCGTCCTGACCCAACATCAACCCTACCTCGCTATCATTTGATGGTTTTTGGGTAAGGGGAGGGGTAGGTAAGTAGTTGCTCAAATAATAAAACTGATCCCTACGTATATTTTTTAAAATACCGGAAAACGATTCCAAGTACTTACGCTGGAGACTGGCACGTAGCTGACCTGAAAACAAGTGATAAGAGTGTTGAGAAATTCTCAACTGAGTTTCGAGAGTAGTGCAGGATTGCTTTGGTTTTGCTTTACCTTGCTATGGGATTGGTTCAGAAACTCGTGCAATTTTCTTAACCAAACAGATTCGAAGCTAAACCAATTACGACATAGACCCTCGCGTTTTCCCGCGCTTTTGGCAGTTTCCTTGTTTTCACTTGGGCCGCTGATTTGCTTCTATGTGATTGGTTCAGAAACTCGTGCCGCTTTTTCAACCGATCAGATTCGAAAATAAAACCAATTACGACATTGACCCTCGCGTTTTCCCGCGCTTTCGGCTGTTCCCTTGCTTTCACTTAGGCGGCTGATTTGCTTCTATGTCATTGGTTCAGAAACTCGTGCCACTTTTTCAACCAATCAGATTCGAAAACAAAAGCAATTACGACATTGACCCTCGCGATTTCCCTCGCTTTTGGCAGTTTCCTTGTTTTCACTTGGGTCACTGAGTTGCTTCTTAAGATTACTTGTATTAGTTTACAAAATTGAACTGGGCAACGTTGCAATAGCAGGGAACTCGTTACGAACTGTTTGAGGGTGACTTGCAAGGGGTACTAACAAACTTGCACTTAATTCCAACGGAAGAGCTGGGAAGAGGGAGGGAGCATACCTGAGAGGGGKGGGGGAAAGGTACCCGGATGAGTTCCGAGAGCTGGAAGAGTCAATCTCGTACGCAGTGTTTATCTCAGTATAAGGTTTAATGTAAAAGAAACTGGTTGATTATCATAAATGCGATCGCTGAAGAAAGTTATTAATCGAGAGTTAAGTCTGTAGTTATGGAAAAAAAAAACAAATAGGCAGACAGGAGATAATTTTACCTCAATAACCGATAAAGTCAATAAAGAAGATGAAGGGATTCTGACTGTTCTAAGAGAGTTTACCTTGTTCTGGGACTCCAAGTGTGATGACGTCTGGTGAGTTGGTGTAGCGAAAAGCGAATCCACAGCCCTGACACAACAAAGAAAAGCGATGGATAACGAGAACACCAAAAGGAAAAAGAAAAAGAAACACCAATTTATCGGCAGTGCGCAAACACATTAACCACTAAGTCTCAACATTTTCTTTCGGTTATTTCTTAATTCACATTTCGACTTTCAGTCTGACTTTGTAGGCGCGGCAGACCCGAGCGATTACAGGAAATGGCGAGTTGTGGTTTAGTGTCCAAATCCGTTCCTATTTGTTTTATCTGTCAAAACCTGTCGGAAAATGCCCCTTAAAAGCTATCCGTATTGCAGACGAAAAGCAAAACAACTTTAAGAAAACTCCTCCTTGTTCCATGTTCTACAAACAGGGATAATCTAGAACAAGTTTGTGACGCAGTTTCATATTCAGCCTATGCTTGTTTTCGCTATAACTGTAACCAAATTAGAAGCGAGTCAAGTTTATCACTGAAAAACTGATAACTTTCAATTTGTATCTTATTCTTCTAACCTTCCATATTCGCACCAGAATCCAAGTCGTTTGCACCCACGATCGCTTGTCGTAGGCACCCATGAGGGATCGAATAGCCTTTTCCAACCTACATGTCAAATAAACAAGGAATAAATTTTCAGGTGTTGGTCTTCAAAGTACTGGACATGCTGTATATTTCATTTACACTGGGTTCCACTGCTCATCAAATTCATCGCATTTCGCATTTTCTTGAAAGGAATCCGACATGAGATGATGAGGTTACTGTTATACTTCTCTTGGCCAAAGAGCATGAATGATGAAGACATATGCGAAAAATTTATCACAAGTCTATTTGCAGCATATATGTATTTTTCTACCACTTTCCTGATTTTTTGTCACAAGGAAATCCTTTGGATCAAAGTGTTTCGGGAATAATTTCTCGTTGAGTTTCACTCATGGTGAGCACTGTGGTAAAGCGAGGCTTGAGGGTGAAATCAAAAGCAAAAAATAATCGGATATTCCGTGGGCTTTGCTTCACTTCGCTCTGTGATTGGTCCAGAAAACTAGCGCCTGGTTCTTAGCCAACCAGATGCAAAGCTAAACCAATCGCGACTCAGTGTTTATGAGTGCCATCCCCGCGCCCCTCTTGTGTCTCCGTGCCAGTATTTATCACCGCTGTGACCTTGTTTTTGTTGTTGTTGTTGTTTTTTCTTTTTAAATAATGACCAAGATGTGACTCACAATGGTTCTGGTATGTTCTCTACAGCTTCCAGACTGTCCGGGTAACAGACAAACGCAGCTAAGGCTTGTATGATAATATCCCGTAAATCTAGAAGGACAAAGCAATTATTCATCTTTAATTTGTCCAACGTTACATGGCAGACGTTACAAGGAAGGCGAGCAGATGCGAAAAGATTCTGCGGGCAAAGATAGACTCTTGGAGCCAAAATCGAGGAGTGAAGAAGGGAAGAACGATTATCATGAGACATACAAAGAACGGATAGCGCTTATGGACTCACGAAAAGGCAGATGGTTTTTTCTAAAAGGGGAAGGGGATGACACGAGGGGGAGGGGAGGGGTGGGGGGACCCAGAAACGCACGGAGGAGAGGCTGAGAAAAACAGGGCGGGTGTGGGAGGGGATGGAGCGGCAATAAGTAATGTAACACGTTTCCCATACCTGGATTGATGATTCTTTGGTCGATAAAGTGTGTACACAAAAAGACGGCCATTTTTTGAAGAGTGACACCGGACTCTAGAAAATATATAAGTATATAAAAAAGAATATCTAATGTATATCCATAAACAACTCACAACGAGAAACATGCGCATACAAAAAAGGAAGGGGAAAAAGGTATGCATTTCGAACACATATCCTTCAAACACCCCCACCCCAACCCCGACCTCGTTCCCAGGGCTTTTTAATCATTTGGGCTGCCCCCAAAAGAGGGAGACGCCCTGGGAACTAGGTTGACCTCATCCCAACACTCTACCCCATCCCACTCAAACATCCGACCCCACCCTACCCCAAGTGGTGTTAAACAGCGGTGGAATTACATATGAATTGTTGTATATCGGAACAGATCCTCGACAGTTTATTGTTGCGGATCGCTATTCGTTGAACGGGTGTATGCGCGTCCAGGACTTGTCGATAGCTGTTTCTGGGTTTCTGGAAAAGAGCGTAAAATTGGATGGTTTTCAGATCACAGTTCTTTGACCTCTGGATTTCAGGGAAATCTGAGAATGCGTCACTGTAAGGTCGAAGTGTCGCAGGTTTTATGAATGTCTAGACCTCTTAGGCTTGTACGCTTTTGTTTACCATATTACTATTTAACCATTATCATTATCATTTTTATTATTTAGTAAGTGTCATTTACCTTCTCATATATTTTTTTTAATGTAATTTACTTTTATAATAATAATTTCGATGTACGTTTTTTGAAAATTCTTTCAATACGAACTAGTAGTTGCTTTCGCGATTTTTATATGTAGGTCGTTTTTGTTATCAAAGTTAGTTTGGGTCTGAAACGAGTCTGAAACGAGTCTGATCCAAGAGAACCGATTTTAATAGATGTATTTTTATCATTATTGTTAAAGTGAGTCACTTGACAAAGTGTCCCTTGATGTAAACAAAATTGAACAAAAACAGGAGCCACATTTCAAAGAAAAACAATCACTAGCAACTGATCGGAAGGTAAAGTTAACCAGTGATGTCAGACTGCCACACCGGCTCGCGCGAACGAAAGGTCACGCGCGCGAACGTCAGTGAGAGCTACAACAGCGTCTGAAATCTCACGCGCGTGCTACTGGCATTCTTAGAGCTCTGCGTGTTGTTCTGGCTACAAATCCTAAACTCAAGAATTTCACTTGAAAAACAAATTTCTGCGCAACTTCGATTCAATCCCATTAGATTACTGATTTTCTAAAGCAGGAGAAATGATGAAGAAGTGTTGTTCTACGAATGTTTTTTATTTTTTCATTTTTTCATTCAGAGAAAACTTTAGCTCAGTCATGGTGTGTTGGTAAATGGGCCACCTTGTAAAAGCCAATCAGAGATTTACGCGTCCCTTAAAATAATGCTCTCTATCCATCTGTTCAACCAGATCAATTTCGGTATTTATTCTTTTGTCCATTTTCTTTTACAAAAACTCAAATCATTCTCTGGTCTGCAAAGCCCACGATACAGTTTAAAAAAACGTTCTGGAGATTTACAACTAAATTTAAAAGCGTGATTTCATCGAACGAACAATATGAAAAATACAATATGTTCCGCACTCATCAGTAAGGTGACAATTCTAAACCGCTACCTAGGCGATTTGATAATTATGCAGATTATAAAAAGTAATTTATGACAAGACCAATTTAAACTCTCCAGTCTGTATACACTGGACACTTCGAAGCATGAAGTCTACAATCCCTGTTGTCGGAGCGCTATTCTTCTCCTTTCTCATCATTGTTTCGTACTGGAACTCAAAAGAGATTACACCGATGCTAAGTAAAACGCGAGGTAAGTTTATGAAGCTATACGACTCTTTAAGAAATTAGAACGTTGCTGTAAAAGTCCTATAAAACTATTCGGTACAATTTTAGCGATATAACATTGAGTTCCACACAGAATGGTAACAAGTAAGTGCAAATTTCGCAATTGACGATGTTTCAACTAAGTGTCTCCCGATGTTTTATATACAAACCGTTCTTTCACAAACAACATTGAGTCCCACATAGAACGTTATCAAGTAAGCGCAAATTTCGCCATTAACGATGCTAAAGCCAAATGTTCCCCGATGTTCCTTATACAAACTGTTCTCTCCCGAAATAATAACAATTACAGCTATATAGTCTGAAACCTCTCCTATAAAGTTCTGCTTCTAGTGATAAAGTACTTTTTTTATAAAGAAAAACTAACATAAGGCAATCACAAAGTGGATGTTTATCGTAAGGGGCAAATAAAGTCCTTTAATGAGAAATCAGTTAAAAAGCATCAGCGGAGGTCGTGCTTCAAAAGAAAAAGCTGTTCAAACAAAATATTCAGTTCTTTTGGTCTCCTGTTGGCCACTACACCGTAAAAAATCTAAAATTTAACGTGAAAATTCTTGCATAACTTCCCAGTAAATAAGTGAGTTACAAGATCATTCCAAATGAGACTTCAATGTAGATTTTATGATCTTTTCTCTCAAACTTTTTAAGCTATGTGCTTTTATTTCATTTTCTTTTTCTTTTTCACAATAAAGAAAAACCACCATTGTTACTTACAAAGGGTTTCTATAATGTCTATGCGTTACCTTTCCCTCTCCCCCTTCCTCTTTCACCCCCCCCTCCAACTAAAACGTTTCCTAAGCCGAATGTTATCAAGGAAAACATAGTAAGACCTTACAAGATTTCGATTACTGGGTTAAGATGAGCGAATAAGGATAAATGCAAATGAAGTCTCTCGATGGCGCCGAAAAAGTTACTCTCAAGTGATAAAATTTCTGACAAATCAAACCCTGTGGGATGACAAGATCAACAAATCAACATAAAAATCATTCTACTTGTTAGTTATGTTCAAGTAGATAGTTTATCCAGGATATAGCTTGATTGCCTTTATAGAAGCGAGAAAATGTCATATCGACCAATGTTATTTTCCTAATCATCGGTTACATTTGCTTCTATGGAATTTCCTTTGTCGTGCTCAACTCGATATCTCGCTGAAAGAGAAATTCCATACCTAAGCACTGCCATTTGTTATCTTCTGTTCAATCACGAACAGTTCTCACTGCAAATGTGCGTCCTCCCATCAAAGCCTTGTTTATATGACCCATTTTCTGACCTCACTAAGGTAACTAGTGCAGAAATGGTGTTCCAAACAGGGACAATGACCATGGGAAAATAACGGATTCTGTTAAATATATTTTCAGAGGTTTATCTACAAAAAAGATCAAAATCTCAGGCGACGACGGTAAGTTAACGATCGACATTTTTAAATGTCTTTTTAACCTTTTTAACTCCCAGTGATAATGAGATGAATTTAAATCTATCACACAAAACAAATGAACTCCGGGTTGTTGAGGGTCTGGACAGTGTTATAACACAGAAGACGTTAAAATGTGGTGAGCCACTTCTTCGTTCTTATCACATTTGACGTCATCTGTGATCTATAGGGGAGTTCAAGAAACGAGGACGGCAACGCCGTGAAAAACGTCGGTGAAAAAATGAAGTTATGTTTAACTTACGATTCTCCCGATACTCGAAAGTCATTTTGTTTGTTTCTCACTGTCAAAACTATCTCGAAACTGAATATTGAACAAAGCGTTAAATTAGTTCACGCTGTCCAGAGAACGCAAAGTTTGGTCATTTCACGATGTTGTTTTGCAGAGGACGCAGAGAAATTTACAAAGATTTACAACGCACGTGCATAGCCATTGTTTTGCTCATTACACCTTTTGTTTGGTGACGTTTCCGTTGTCTTTGCCGTAGTGGTTTTCTTAAACTCCCTATTACTGCTCAGACGCACGGCGACAGAGAATCTGTTTGTTGAATGCTTTTTAAAGCATACCTCTCAACTAAGGAACCACTTGAAAATCGAGCTTAGGAATTTTTCTTTAAATTTAAGTCAAATTCCAATTTCATCCCTAAATCATGTTCATTTTTGTTCGGAACACAAAAAGGAAAAAGCCAAGCCTCAACGCTTAACTCCAGAAGAGAGACAACGATCTAGAAAGCAACACGTGAAAGATTATTGCAGCAAACATTCGTTCAAAACCAATCCAAGCCCCAGGGAAATTCACATTGCCGTCGATGATGAGTTGAAGTTCCTCTATTGCATTGTCCCAAAGGTTGCATCATCGACGTGGAAGACAGTTTTTGCTGCCACTCGCAAATTTCGAAGAAACATCAATCGTTGGCAAATGTGGAAAATGCTCGCTGAATACAGCGAAGAGGAAATATCTCTGCGCCTGAACACATACTTTAAGTTTCTTTTTGTGCGAGAGCCATTGCAACGCTTGCTTTCAGCGTACAAAAATAAGTTTATACAATTACCTAACTATAGCGCAAAAATTCGTCAAGTCATAGTCCAAGATCTTCGACCGCAGGATTTTGATCCAGATGGGAAAAATTACGTTACTTTTGCGGAATTTATTCAGTATTTTTCCAATAATATATCACGCAATCAACACTGGCGCCAATTTGAGGAGCTTTGCCATCCTTGCGTCATCGACTACGATTTCATTGGTCATTTAGAGACATTAGAAGGCGATGCTCCTCTGTTGCTAAAAAAGATGAGATTAGACGACCGCGCAAGTTTCCCGCCAGTGCACAAAGCAACAGGCCAATCAGAAGTGTTGAGGTACTATTCCCAGATCCCGCCTCGGTACATCAATAAGTTAGGCGAACTATACCGGAATGACTTTGAAATGTTCGGTTATGAATATCTTGGGCCAGTAAAATCTTATTTGAATCAGTCCAAGCAAAATGTGTAGACGAAAGGTAAAGTATAGAAAAGCACATCTGTTGAGCAAGTCTAAGTGCACCTTTTTTTGAAGCAATCAACCACACGTTAAAATCTACTGGCATTCTACCAAAAATGCTGCACTCTGATTGGCTCCGATACTCGTTATATATATATACCACAACAGATAGCGGGTAAAGTCAGCGGCCTGACAATATGACGGTGGATGTAAACAAAATAAAATAAAAACATGAGCCTGTATCGTTGTCAACACCCCAATTTCAAGTTTTTTCACCAATCAGAGATCTGGCGCCGAAATGAGAGCGCGAGAACGAGGCTAGTGAAAACTTATTTGCGAGAGTGGCATGCATGTCATTCATAATGGCATCCAAAGGACAGCGATAAATACAACCTCTCGATATATCCTAAAAAGCTGCAGTAATGAAGCAGACAAAACTAGCCAATTTTGCTGAAGACCACAAGAAGCTGTCACCACTACAGGGCTCCAACTAACGGTCGGTAAACGATCAATATTCGGTCAAATATAGGTTGTTTTGTCCGGTTTGTTGGTCGCCGGGATATTTTGCAAATAGGAATTTAATTCCCAGGGAAGTTCAGGGTTCATAGACAGCTTGATCGCTTTTCGTGCATTGAGTTCGAGGCTGTATGTACAATAAAAGCATGATAAATACACTCATTTCAGAGGGGGTGTGGCATTTATCAAGATATGACCTAAAGGATATTGGGTTGTGTCTAAGCAAAATAGGTATGACTAATCAAATTGACCAGTGCCAACTGGGAAATTATTTCGAGACTTGTACTAACAGTAGAATCAAAGTGTCACTGAAAATGCAGTGGAAAGGCCTTTTTTCCACTGAGTTTTTTTCTACTTCCTTCTTTTTTTTCGCTTTGTTTTTCCTATTTTGTTAATTAAGGACTTTCCTGCTTCAAGTTCTCTTTTAACTTCGTTTTCAAACATGACAGGCAATCTTTTATTTCCTTTCGTCACGCGCATAAGTAAAAAAACGCTAATTACAAAAACGTTTCGATGGCAACCGTGATTTACTCAAAACATGTAACAAGTAAGAAACAGACAAAAGATACAACACAAATGATTGGAAGGCCAATACGACCGTTGATAAACAAAGAATTGACTGAGACATCTTTAATCACCGGAAAAATTAAGATTTGGCTCAATATCAAGGGAAATTAGTGTAGTCTTAAATAAACGTAGTTCGCGCTTTTGAGTAGAAAATTACTTAAAGAAAGGAGCCCATTGCTTGTTTAAGATCATTTGTTGATAAAATTAAAAAACCACCAAATCGTATTTTCGAATTGCACTACTAAGAAAAGTGTCAGAGGCTGCTAGAATATATATCTATTTGTGATTTACGATGTTCCGATATACCAGTGTGTGCTGGACACCACTTCATAGATACTTTTATACGTGTTAAAGCCATTTTCCTGCTTAGTTTCGATTTAAATCGAAAAAAAAAGATTGTGAACATAAATAAAAAGAACTGAATGATGTAAAAAATAAATAAATAAATAAATAAATAAATAAAAGGGTACTAGGATTTTTATATCAGTCAACGGAATACATCAATCAAGTCAGGCAATCATCATTGCAGGTGAGTTTTTATTTTAGCAATTGTAGAAAAAAAAAAGAGGCTAAAAAAGATTTAGGCTTCAAGGTGATTGGAACCCATGCCTCTAAGTCCCTAGTTGGGCTAAAAAGCCACACATTGGGAGCAAGGCACATTCAAGAAGGTTTTTCTTTCCCGTGGAGGAATCTGATCACAATTTCTTTAATTTTATCTCTTTAATTGTAACTTTACATCATTAACAAAATATGGAAATCAAATCAAAATAAAAGCTCATACAGCAGACAGTATTGAAAAGCTCTTCAGTTTCTTTCATTAGACTTGTAAAAGAAGGTGCTGCGAAAACTGGAGAATCACAATTGAACAAAGGCTAAAGAAGGCCAAAATAAAGAGAGAAAAATCCTTTCAACCAATTTGCCCTTTGATCACAACAATAGCCTTGATTAACAGAAAGGAAATCATAAGGTGTTTCGTCTTTTAGTGTTTGATCTCCACCTGACTGTAAACGACTAAATCGCGATAAGCAATCGATTAAAACGATTTAAACGACTAAATCGCGATAAGATATCGATTAAAACGGTTTTGATTCTCGGGCACAGTGGCTAGTCATGCTGTCGCGCCACAAAGTTGTTTGGGTTGCATTGTGTTTGTTAATACTCTTCCTTTTATCTTCGTTGTGTTATTTTGGAACTTGGAAGATTACGATCGGTAGATTAGCAAGTGATTCAGGTAAGATTCTTCTTCCCTAACTGATAACTGGTAACACTAGCTCGACAAAAACGATTAAAGAGATTTCTTGTTTGAACGAATAAGTCAAGTTTAAACGCAAAGTTTAAATCCACTTAAGACTTACAATTATACGTGCAAATGTATATCATCCGTATTTCTATTCAACTAAATGAGCATATTGAATTATTTTCCACAAGCCATCAAGCAAGCTGAGATTTTTAAGCATCGAATTGAAAATTTCCCAAATCACTTCCATTTATTAATTTTTTTTCTAATTTGTACCTCATAATTTTACGAATATATATTTTGTAGTTTTTATATCAGGCGGGAAAAGCGAAGCAATTGAGAAACGTAGCATACATAGCCGGCCGGTTAAGAAGACGCTTCCCTTGCCTTAAAATTTGGCGGGAATTAACACCCGCGTCAGTTCCCGCCAATTCACGATTCAACTCATGCGTTGGAAGTGTTGAAGTATTTTTCCAAGGTCCCCCCAGAATACATCACACGATTAGGCGAAGTGTATCGCTGGGATTATACTATGTTCGGCTATGATTATTTAGGTCATGTGCAACCGCTTCTTAATGGTGAAGAAAACAGGTCGACTACTCAATCGTAAAGCAACTTCACGCATGGTCATTTATATAAATACTCTTCTACGAAAAAATACTATAGCATGAGCCAAGTTTACGGTCAGCTGAAACGAGCGAAGAAGCGCACGAGCGAAAAATAAAGGGGGAGTAGACAACCCTGGTTTTTTGCTAATCTGCTCTTTCGTTCGTCTTCTTTCCCCGGAAGCCTAGAAAAAGTTAATATAACCAAGCCGTTTACCTGGAATATCACTGAAGCTTGTTGTAGGGTGAAAGTAATGCCTAAGCCCGTGAAACGCATTTATAGCGGCCTCCATGTAAAACTCAGGCGTAAACTCGAAGAGAGAGTCTTTTACAGCACCCCGCTCCACAGATGACATAATACAATTGAGCATCCAATGTACATCATTCTGCTTCTCCTTCAGAAATAAACAATTTGATATTGGAACTTATTAACAAGTTAGCTGTTATAAACTATTTTGTTTTCAAATCTGATCTAATCTGAGAAAAGATAGCGGGGAAAGAGGTAAAAATCAACACTACTATTACTTTGTCGGTATTGTGACGCATAAGTCTTTTACGCTGTATGTTCGCTCGCGTGATGTTCACACAGTTCTTATTTTTTCAATGCCCTCCAGAGTAATAACAATAACAATTCACTTTATCTTCTTTGGCATAGATAGGTTCTGGGCCCTTCCCAGATTTCACCTTATCCTTTACCAGCGGCCTGGCCTAAAATGAATCTGAGTCTGACCCAAAACATATTTATGCCTGCGAACATAATCTTTACTGTTTAATTGTACGCGGGAGGGGTAGGGGTGGTGTTTTGTACGTGGGAGGGGAGGGGGTGTGGTGTTCTGTTTTTATATGCTAACTGAAAAGTGTCCCATTTCTTCAATACTGTAAGGAAGTTTATGTTAAGTTTTTACGGATCAAGGTCAGTTTCTGTCCAAGTGTACAACTACCCATCCCCTCACCCAACAAGTTAAGGTTACTGTTTGGTTAGGGGTGGGGTAGGTGAGCATTTGCTCAGCTAATGACACTAATATGTTTTCATATCGTATTTTTCACAATGACCTCGTAGCCTATTTCATTTTATCTTATTTCATTTTTTTTTTCATTATTACGGTTACAAACAAACCTTCGTGAAAATAAGAGTGGAAACCCAAGCCATGTGTCTTGCGCAGTGTGTGGTTTCTTGAAGGAAAACGGTCTTCGATCTTTCTAGTTCTGCTAACACGTCGGTTCTCTGAAAAGATTTAAAAAAAACAAAGTTTCGTTACACCTGAATGCAAACTGATATCGCCAAATAACAGGAGGGATTGGGGTAAGAGCACCTGGGCTGTGTAAGCGCAAAGGTGAACTGATCACCCTTGAGAGAAGGAGAGTTACGACACTTGAGAAATTTGCTGGTTTCCAGCCCCTTTTCTGCCGAAGCAACGTTTTTAGAGTCAGTCAAGTTCTGTTGCAAGAAGCACCCAATTATCCCACTACCACAACCATATCCATTCAATCCGTGCTTCATTTCTATCTAAGCAAGAAGATAACAAACCATAAGGTACATCCAGCCGGAGGTTACGGCATAACCATCAGCATCAAGCAGCAAAGTGTATTCTCCCCTGTGAATGGGATACTAGTCCATCACCAGTCACCCCACACCCCTTCCGCATTTCGTCGGAATTCCCTGACTATTCGTCGGTACCCGTTGGGTTGAGAAAGGCTGTGACAAGCAAATGCCTTGCCTCATTGACCAAGCCAGGGCGGGAATCCACCAGGCCCTCGCGACCATGAGTCCCATCGCATAACCACTAACTCACTGCGCTATCCCGCTTCTTTAAAAATTAAAGAGTATATGGTTGTACATACCTCCGGTTCACAGCGTCGGATTTTTGCCATTGTTTCTTCCAGAGCTTTAATGTTCTGCTTCATGTTGTCCCGTACGGCTCTCACCTGTGAAAAGTATGGACTTGCTTTTGTCTTACAAGTTCTCAAGCTAAAGACGCTCTAACCACTATAAGGAATAGTTCGCGTCGAAAAATGCCCCTTGGAGAGCATTGCAAATACAGCAAAGTTTGTTAAAGCGATGAACTTTTAAGCCACTTCGATTCTTCGTCGCTCGTATCGAAAAACTGGAACAACTTAAGAAGAACAACAGTACTTGTTGTACAAAAAACTGTCAAAACTGTGTAGCCTGCATTACAGGCGTCTTAAGCAGGACAAATTAACGTTGTAAGCTTATGATCGTTTATTCGACCGGCCATGTTTGATCTAAGATAAGAGTGGACTGTAAGGGGGGGGGGGTAGGTGGCAATTCTGTTGCTCCCACTCCTCCCCTCTCC